GTGCAGCAGGTTTGATATTCATCTGAGCTCCCTTCTTGATCATTTCTATTCACAATTGCCTCGTTTTTTATTTGTGTGGTCACCAGTGTGGCTGCATTGTAAAGAGGAAACTTTTCCATGATTTTAGTCTACTGGAAGTTGCAAAGTGGCCATATAGTGCAGGGGCAGGCAATTACTTCGTGTGAAGGGCCGCTTAACAAGGTTTGGTGAGCTTTGAGGGCTGCATGGGTAGCCCTACCCCTTGACAGATGCTCTGCCCCCTGGTTGCCATCTTGGGACTGGAAGTGTGTTCCCCTGTTCCCACCCTCCCCAACCTTTGCCACCAGAAGTCCCTCCCCACCCCCAACCCCTCTGGACATACTCTTTTTGGGAGGGGGGTTGCCATCTTGGAACCAGAAAAAAACCAAATCATACACTGAAAGTCAAACACCTACTATAATATATTTTAATTTAATTACAAAAAATATGTCATGATTTGTGTTTGCATACTGTATGTAGAGGTGACTGCATAACAACTCAAAAATAAATTCTTAGTCTTGTATTGTGTGCGTGTGTGTGTGTGCACACGCACTAGGCTGTAAGGTTGTGGGTGTGTGGGGGGGCATAGAGTATGTTAAGGGTGCGTATATGTGAAGGGTTGTAGGGGCAGGTTGTGGATGTGGGGCATTTGTGGGGTGTGAGGACCCCCCGACAATCTCCTCATGGTGCAGCAGCAGCAGGCGGGGACACTCAGGGAGCTCATGCCCAGCAGCAGCACATGGCTCTGGCCAGCACTGCACATTGTGGTGAGTGCAGCCCAGCTAGGACATCTCTATAGCTGGCACTCCCTGCCACACATGCACAGCCCCCACACTTGTGTGCTGCTGGAGGGAAGCTCCCCATGCTGGAGCCGGCTGCCTTTACAACTCCCTGCCATGCAGGTCCTGGGACTCCGCAGGGAAGCATCGCCGGGGTTCCCCTCCACTTCCACCAGAGTCCCGGGACTTGCACAGCAGGGCAGGCAGCCGGCTCCATCACAGGGAGCTTCCCTTCAGTGGTGCATGATTGTGGGGGCTGCACGTGCACAGTGGGGATCAACAGTAGTAGAGGCAGCCCAGTTGGGCTGTGCTCGCCCTGATGTGCAGCGCTGGCCAGAACTGCACACTGCCAGGCACCAGCATCGGTGCTTGGCACAACCACCCTGAGGGCCCCCTGCCTGTGCCATGGTACTTGTGTGGGGGGCCCACACCCCTCACACTCCCTCATACCCACAGTCTGCCCACCCAAGCTCCACGTTGCCATCAGCCCTAGTGCCACACTCCACGCTCCTGTCCAGCTGCAGCTCCCACCCCCACTCCCCACCGCTTCCCTACCTGCTGCCCATAGTGAGCAGGACACGGGAAACTGAGGAGGTCCCCTGGAGACTGCATGCTAGCTGGGCCAGGCCATTCTGCCCATGAGGGTGGGAGCAAGGAGCAATAGGGTATGTTTGGGGGGGGAGGGGGTGTATACGTAGGTGCCTTGCTCCCACCCTTGTGGGTGGAAGGGCTGGGCAGGGGACAATTGGTTTGCAGGTACCGTGGGCCAGATGAAAGTGCTTAGCAGGCTGGATCTGGCCCGCGGACCATATTTTGCCCACGCCTAATATAATGGATGCCTTGGGAACCTGCCACAGCCTCAGGACCCTGCACCCCGTTCCAGAAACCTGCAGAGCTCTGCCTGTGCCCACACCCATGCCTGTGTTGGGGTCAGGCAGCTTCCAGCTGTGCCCATGATGCTGCCACTTCTCACCCTTCCAGCTCCAGTATAATGCAGGCCAGATGGCTTCAACAAAGTACCCAGAAATGGGGGTTTTCCCTGCTCTCATGCTGGGGCCAGGAAGCTGGGAGCTGCTCCTATGCTGCCTCCACTTCTCCCAGCTGCCTTCTCCCCAGCTGTTACACAGGCATAGCTCCAAGTGGTGGGGAGATGTGTTGGGACCAGGTATTTACAAAACTGTATCCACAATACTATTGCTTCACCCTGCTCTCCTTTCCACCCTCTCTACCCCCAGCCACAGCGCAGGTGCAGCTTCCAGGCAGTGGGGAGCTGAACTGGGGCACTGCAGCATTTAGCTATGCTTACATTGCAAGAAGGGGACTGTGAGAAGTTGAAGCATCATTGTTGCCTGGACCCAGTGAAGGCATAGGGGAAGCCCCTGCCACTGACGCGCTGCCGAAGCCCCCCAGTCTGCACTGGACCAGAACTGGGCTGTTCTGGCCTGTGGGCTGTTAACTGCTGGCCCGAGGTAGCATGATCTTAGTCTTATTTGAGTAGATGCATAGCAATCTTTCCATGATCCTACTACTAATTCCAGAAAAAAAATAGTTAAACTGATCCACTGCCATTTCAGAGTCTATTATCCCAGACAGAGCCCAGTGTAATCACCTTACTATTTTTCCTAACAAATTAAATATGCTTTGAACAAGAGGCAGCAAAAACAGTGCAGCCCCCAAAAGAGGCCTTGAGGTAGGTAAGCAAATACCTCTAGATGTGTTCCAAAAAGTGTCCTATATAGGGGCTGCAGCATGTATACACACAAAATTATCTGTACGCTGGAACAGCATAATCAACCAAATCTAGCATAAATAACTTTACAGCAGCAAATATTAAATTGTGGGCGGCAGCATTATACAAGAGGTTAAAACAGAAATAAGCAACTGAAATTACAAGAGGATCACTTTTATTAGTGCATATACATTTAACGTGAGTAGGTTCTAATGTCAAATGTAATGTTTATAAAGAATTTTGATTTCTAAAACGTCTTTTTCATTTATGTCTATCCTCTACAATATATATACTTGATTATGCATCATATATGGTGTGGGATATATTTAAACATGCAGGGCTCATGTATCCCATGCATGTTAGGACACAGAAATAGTATTCTGAAAATTAAAAGAATGCTTAAATTATTTGGACAAATTAGTATCCTGTTCCACTATGTTTCTAGTAAGTATGTACATGTTAGACCAACTTCAGTATTTTTAAACATCTGCAACAACACTACACACCTTCTCATAATATTCACAGGGTGGGGGGGACAAAAACCTATTCTAAATAAAGTTAAGCACTTCAAACAGAGCAAAAAACAAAAACCTAAACCTAAACAAAGATTAGCTCACATTTCTCAGATAAATATCTGCAGAAAATCAGAACAAACCTGTATTAAAAGAAGGTTTAATTAATGGCTTCTTTGAATAAAGAATGAAATTAAGTGGCAGAAGAGTTTCTATTCCATCACATTTCCTTTCTAGCACACACTTTCTTTAGGTAATAGAATGCATTTTGTAACTACATAAAAATAAACAAATCACTAACCACCAAGAATATTTTCTAATAGAGGCAAAAGTGTTTCATTTGCATGCCAAAATAGTTAGGCAGCTAAATAAATGTGATTTAAGTCTTTAGCAGTGCCGAGTACCTAAAGCTTCCACATATTTCAATGGGAGCTATAGTTCCTAAGCAACAAAATGAAAATAATAAAGGATTAAAACAAACAAACAAACCAACCAACCCTTCCCCAACTACACAGTCAAAAATAATAATAGCTTGGTCAAAATTTTCAGCGCCTCATTTGTAAAAATGGAACACCTTACAGACATAATTAAATAGAGTACTTGTTTCCAATTATCAAGCATAAGTACACACTTACTGACTTGCCTGGGGATTAAGGAGAGGCTCTGAAAAAGAGAATTGTTTTAGCTGCACTGTGTTGGAGGATTTCTTGGAGCCTGCATACAAAAATACTATGCTCTCTTACTGTACAATAAAAATTCCAGCAGAAGCATACAGCCCACTCAGCAACAGAGAACAAACTCTTCTCAAATTCCTCCCTCAGAGAGCACACGTTTCACTTCACAATTCAACAATTCTAAAGATAAAAATATGTTATTCAGTATGGGTTGGAAACGTAGCCTTCAATTAAGCATACCTGAATAGGCTACACTAATCTCAGGGATATTAAATAAAATATGAAGTCTGTAGTATATATCCCTAAAATATTAACAATTTAGGAAATCTCTAAGCAAAAGCAATGTCTCTTGAAAAATAAAATGTAATGTCTTTGTCCTGCTTGTATTAAAAAAATGTAGGTAACCTCAAATTTAAAGATTTGTACAACCACCTTAAGATACATTAAGCTTAACTAAACAGATGTTTAGCAGTAAATAGTATGAAATAAGAGCCTGAAATATATTTTGTAATCCTCAAGGAAAACCTCACTGAAACCAAACTACACACCAAAAGCAAATACATATTGGTTGAAAAGGATCAAGAGCAACCTGAATAAAGTCTGATTAATTAACAAAACAAAACAAAACAAACAAACAAACAAAAAATCAAGAAACTTCCTAAAAAGTGTAAGGAAGTTAGACAGAAAGATTTCATTTACACAAATTCCTACCAGCACTTCCACAGGACTGTCCACTTCTACTTCACACTGAGCTGCATCCCTGTACTGTTGCGGAGACGCTATAACAAGCTCTTTTTTTATACTTCTGTTTGTTCTTGCCTGCATTGTTAGCCAGAAAACTGAAAAACCTAAGAAAGCCTGTTCTTCTTGTGATCAAAGTAAACACCATGCCAGTGATCCAGAGAAAAAGAGTTTTTTCCTAGGCAGAAGCTATGGAAAGTACAAACTAGTTCAACTTCCAAGCTGCAGCTTGCTGTCATGGTGAGAATGCATGACAAAGGACAGCCTCTAAAGGGGGTAGTACTCCTCTGGAAAAATAGGTGGATCCATTTTAATGCTACAGGAACACAAACTAAAAATGGTGCAACAGAGAAATGCATTATGATATTCTGACAGTACACATATTATAAAAAACACATAAGGTACATTTTAGAGTAAGAGTTAAATTTGTTCTACATTAAATATTAACTTGCTTATTACAGTTTGGAACTCCACAGCAGAACAAGATTCCAAGTGTTCTTCTTTCCAAATGAATACCGTACTATCCACTCTGAGATTCCCATTAATGCTCAACAGCTAATGGAGTAACTTCTCGAGTCAATGCCATGTCAGCCAGTAAGGGTACATCTCTGTTACACTGTCAATGCCCTTTTTTTATTCCAGCATTTCTAAAAACTAAACAAAAGAAAGCTTTCTTACTTTCATACATTCTTCCCCTAAAAAAAAAAAATCTCAAATACTGTTTTTACTCAATTCTAAGTCGAGGTTTGTTTCTCTCATTTAACGTAAGGAAAAAAAGTCCTTAATCTTGGAATCGAGTATGAGACACCGGGACCCTGCACCCCCGTTCCAGAAACCTCAGTGTATTTTTTTTAAGCTCGCTTAGAAAACTATATCCAAGAATTAAGTTAAATAATGCATATAATGGAAAAAAGCAACCACTCAAAAGTTAGGAAACAAAACCTTAGTGTTAAATTTATTTTTTTTTGTATGTAACTGCATTGTCGCCTTAGGTATAATCACATACTATTTAGACATAATTATATAGCTATTATAAGGCATACCATATTTACACCAATCTAACACTAAAGGATTTTCCCCATTCAACAAGGAGAGAAGCCCCTCATCTTGCATTTTGAGACTGGAGCCATAGCCATAGCTGCTGTGTGTCCCCCTGCCACCTCTGCCCCCCCACCCCACCTGCCACGCTGCAGCCTCTGTCTACCCTCCACATCCTTTGTTCCTCTATCTGTCTTTTTCACTGCCTCTTTCTCTTATCTCCCCACATCCCACACCTGTTGCCCCCCTCCTCGCCTCTCCCCCTAGCCCACCCCTGCCACCGGGGTGGATTTGAATGAAATCAAATCGATTTAAATCACTGGTCAGGAAGCCTCGATTTAATCATTTTCTCTACAAAAAAGTGCATTCTTGTTGTAACTTTATTTAACTACTTGACACTTTGTACTTTGAGAGAGAGGTAAGGGCTTGACTCTGTATGGAACATTGTAGAGAGACAAGAGGGCTGATGGGTAAGTATTCAGGTCTGTTATCTCTCATCTCCATATACTGCTGTTAACAAGGATGTTATCTCTGGAGACATCAATCCGCAGTTTGAGAACTGAAACTAAGCATCACAGAGATGCTTAATGGGATCTTCTAGACTGAGCACCACGTTCTGCTGGGCAGAGTTAATCTACAGAGGAGCCTCTGAGAACCCCATAAGATTGGGCCCCTAATATAGTCTACGGCCTGTTGTGACCTACTTATAAAACGTTTCCAAAAAGGTTACATGAATATATTGTCTCAAATAGTATATAATTAGAAGTTATAATTCCATGATGATGTCTTTGAGCTTTAATGCATCTTAAATTAAAACTATCTTTATATAGGTTTATTTTTAAAAGAGCATTTTAAGAAAAAAATATAAAGATACAAATAAATAAAAAATGTGATTTTTTTATTACTATTTTTAATCATTGTTATCCACCCTACCTGCCACTTTACCTTTGCTCCAGCTCCTGCAGGCTCCAGTCCCACTCCAGCCCAGGCCACAAAGTATTTGTTTGATCTAGCCCTCAGTGCTACAGGGCTAGGCTGGGGCCAGAGCAAGCACATGATTTAGGTCCCAGGTTGGAGTGGGGTCAGACCCTACCAGGACAAGGACAAGCAGCCAAGAGAGGGCAGGAGGAGACGGAGAGAAGGAGGATCTGATGTGGCAGGGGGTAGGCACAGGGGCAGGGGGCCATGAACAGGTGGAAGAAGGCAAGGTTTAAAGTGTCAAGCCCCATGGCCTGCCCTGCAGTTTAAGATAACCCTCCAATAATTAGGTTTGAAACCTAACAAAATGTATACATTTTCTACTTGCAGAATCTAATTATTAGAGAATCATCTTAAATTCTGGTAAATGCAATATTTTATTAATTCATAAGACGTACATGTTCCTTTTCCCAAAAAAATGCTCAAGGCAGCTTACAAAAAAGACAAAGTAATTTATAAAAACAGATACAATATTAAATAAGATCTACAAATACTCCCCAACAACATGGCAACTTAATGTTGCTTGCTAGATAGCTGCCTAAATAAGGTGGTGTTGCATTGCTTCAGGAAGATGTCCAGGCTCAGGACATGAAGGCCCAATTTCAAGGTTGCCCATACAACCTTATTCTGGCATTCTCTAACTTCAGAGAACTTGGTCTTGCAACCTTCACAGTTCCATAGTAGCTAGGGTCAGGTAATACCTTAATACTAATTTTTATGTAATCATATGTAGATTGAATTACAATACAAGCTGCATTATGTTCAACTTCACCCAGCCTTTACTTTTGTATTCTAATTCAGATAGTTGATATTGGAGCAACAGACCTTGATACAGGTCTGCCCTGCCAGGCATCAGGTAAATAAGGGGTTATAGTTTCTTACCAAGATCATATTGGTGCAATTTCTTAACATAATACAAGGCAATTTTGTGACCACACATTTTATTGTTATTTTTGCAAGGTATGGTTCATCCCTTACTACTTTACCCTTAAAAGACAAGATTCCCCCACTCCATCCCCCCCATCAGCATGTGGGGGGAAGCCCCTTGTCTTGAGTTTGCATACAAGAATACTGCATTATATACATTGCCTACCTTTAAACAACAGGTACTCAGTAATGGAAACCAACTATGAAGTTGATTAAATGCAGCCAACACTGAGCATGACTATAAAACACATGACCCACATTGGGCAAACATGAGAACCTACCACATTTGGGGGGGGGTGTTCATTTTGTATCAAGCCAAATCAGTTCCAAATTCTATCAACTGAACAAACAAAACTTCAATCGTTCAAGTCTGTGTGGCACTACCACCAGCAAGTATCCTCCTTCCTAGACTCTTCAGCCTGCGGCTTCAGATACTCCTAAATCCACAGCAGGCATCTGGAGGTCTTGGATTTCAGATGTCCCCAAGTCTCACTTGCCCTTAGCCCAAAGGCCAAAGGAAGCTAGGGAGAAATCCCTCATCACCATGAAACAGGTATGTAGCTGAGATCCTCCCACTGGAAGACTATAGTAGACTCTTGTACAGGGTTCTGTCCGCAGTGCATTGGACAGGTCTCCACCCTTTACTACACAATGCCATTAAAGGTGACCTTGGCACTGGGAAAAGACAAGTGCAGCCCAGAAAACTTGATCTTAGCCTTAAAAATGCTGAGAAGCGATAGGATAGCTATCTATCCACAACAATAGATTTTATTTTTGCAACACACACACACACACACACAAAACAAGCCTACCAGTCTTCAAACACAAAACACAGTTATAGAATCATACACCTGTTACAATGCACATACCCGCTACAAAAACTCACACCTGTGCTCCCTGCACCATTATAATTACACTGTTTCTTCGGTCTTGTCCTTAGTGGCTGTTCTCTATTATGTAGTTTTTAATCCATTTCTCTCATACTGTCACTGTCATCTCCACAAAGACAGATTAGCACAGGCTATCTGAATAAAACATATAGTAGTGCCCACTGAGTACAAGTTCCCCTCAACAATAACACTTTTTCAAGACCTGGTAAGCCACTACACTGACTATATTTCAACTTCCTCTTCAGTCCCACAGCTGAGCTGTGCCTTTCTTTCCCGTTTCCAATTATACCTGTTTCTTCACCAGTCTTAAATGTCTGGCAAACATCACCAAACAGGGCCCCAAACAGTTCACCAGAATCCCTTTTGCCCCTCTCTCAGCCTTTCACATATGGTCAGTGTGGCCCACCCCCCATGAGGTGAAGCCAGACCAAGTTGCCCTGCACCTCATCTGCATAAAAATTTTGGATCATCCCAGGACTCATGACTAGAACTGGGTGTTTTTGTCATGAGTGGGGGCTAATTAGCACATGGATCCTTTGGGGCGGGGGACAATATTTGGAGTACATCCGTACTGCACAGCGCTGAGCTGTTGGGTCACCAAGGCTTGAAATGCTGTTGACACTGCTAGGGTGCATAATGGTAAATCATGAGCCTTTTGGCTTTGGACTAGTACCATGCATATTCTGTACTCTATAAGTAGGTGCTAAAGTTGTTTGTGGAGTACCTAAACTAAAGCTTGCAGCAGTTGCAAAAAAGGTAAAAATGCATCGCTCGGTGAACTAAATCTATGAATACTATTAGCAGATTACTACAGCTATGTTTATTTCCAGGTCAGTGTTTTCAAATTTGCCCCTCACTTCCACGTGCTCAGGGAGAACAGGGTTTGTCAGTAAGGAGGGGGAAAGGAGTCACAGGGGAAAGAAGTTGGGGAGGAGGCAGAGCACAAAGGGGCTACCTGATCCCCCCCCGATTTATCTTTCCTGATGTAGCAATGGGAGGTTTACAAATTCAAGACAAACCTTCAATAATTAAATTCTGTACCTGGAAAATTATATCAAATGTATACATTTTCCATATATAGAATCTAAGTATTGGTGGGTTATCTTATAAAGCAGAATCATCTTATAAATCGAGTGAATACTGTAGTTTCATTTTATTTTGATATTTTATGGTAATCGTTTTAACTTCCTAATGAAACTGAGTACAACAAGTTCTTCAGACAAGTCTCTGATTGCTAATTTCCGATCCCTTTATTTTATCTCAGTCTATTACAGCTGCCTTTAAAAACTATGGCTCTCTTATTAAGAGATATTAAAAAATCTGTCAGCAAAATAAGTATACTGACTTGACTTAAATATACAGAGCAAAATCCCCTTCTTGAAAAAGTTGCTTCCTGACAGAAGAGGC